ACTGGCTAGCTTAGCACCAACCAGCTGAGAACCAACTAACCAGCCAGACTATTTATACACATTCAGCATTGCTACGAACACACAAACAGAAAGTGAGTTAGCTATATCGACAATTCTATTTTTAGTAACAGAGTGTTTTCCAGACAAGGGTGGAATAGATGGCTACCAGATTAAGCTACTCTATTTGCTAACGTTCGCTATCTTATGTTAGCTAACATTAGTCAAAGATAGAACGAACAAACAAACATGTTTACTCTGCTGAAGGTACCAGTCTAGTAGTGACTACGATGGCATAGGTTGAATTGATTGACAGTGTGTATCCAAAAGATAGCTAGCTAGCTATATGATTTAGCTGATGGCTTTCAGAGTTCAATACAGGACTGTAACGTTAGCTAGCTAGCTAATTTACCTAGTCCAGTTAGGCTAGCATGCTAGCTAACGTTACGTTACCTCTAATCGAGAATCTTCCATTTTGTTGTGAAGGGAAAAAAACGATGGTTTTGCATCACTTCTCAGCTGTCGTCGAAATGGATTCCCCATCAGTTCAGCCTGAAAATCCCTCTGATAATCTTTGGTCACTGTAAGCATCATTCTTGATAGCTGCAAGCCACTGGCAGCATTGGCGTAAATCTCTTGTAGGTAAAACGGCGAAAGATAACACATTTTCGCGCTTGTTTGCAATTAGCACAGCCAGTCACAGAACACCACACTGCCATGATGACAAACGTTTGTGAAAAACAAATGTTTTTTATTTTTTTATTTTACCTTTATTTAACTAGGCAAGTCAGTTAAGAACATATTTTTATTTACAATGACGGCCTACACCGGCCAAACCCGGACGACGCTGGGCCAATTGTTAATATAGTAATGACTATTTGCCGTGAGAGCATGGGTGAAATTTCCCTTTAACAATATTTATGACAGACTCCATATGGTGTACATTTGACTCTGGGTGTAAAATACAGACAGGCTCATGATTTGCAGGGTACCAGAGTACTAGATTATATTTTATCATTAGAATTTGTAGCCTCGCACACACACACATACACACTTTTTTATTGCACACACAAACACTTCACAAGATGCAGATACATTTCCAGTAACGTTGACCCTTTGAATGTGCTTTCACCAACTGTTATGTAAGTTAAATTGTATTGTCTTGCTAATGTTTGGGAAGTATGTGTGGGTATTAAGGAAATAGAGAATACTGTCAAATCATTTGAACAAGCAGTGGAGGATGGTGGCTCTCCACTATTTGATTTTAACCTTCACCAAAAGCTCAAAACATCAAAGGCTTGCATAAAACACTGGTTTAAGTTTCAAATGTAAAACTTTTATTGCCACATGCACAGGATACAGCAGGCGTAAAACAGTACAGTGAAATGCTTACTTGCGAGCTCTTTCCCAACAATGCAGAATAAAAGTAATAATACAGACAAGAAAACACAGGGGCCCCTGTGTGAGTGTGGGTGTGTGTGTATGTGTATCTGTGGATGAGCATAGAGTCAGTGCAGGTAGTCAGTGCTGATAGTCCGTGGGAGATAGGGAGGGCAGTGGTAGTTAGCTCTTCAACAGTTGTATGGCCTAGGGAAAGAAGCTGTCTCGAAGCCTGTTACCCCGAGACCTGATGCTCCGGTACCGCCTACCGGACGGGAGCAGAGGGAACAGACCATGGCTCGGGTGACTCTGGCCTTTCTAAGACACTGCCTGGCATGAATGTCCTGGATGGCTGGGAGCTCATCCCCAGTGATGCGCTGGGCCATCCACACCACCCTCTGTAGGGCCTTGTGATCAAGGGCGGTGCAGTTGCCATTCCAGGCGGTGATACAACCAGTCAGGATGCTTTTGATGGTGCACCTGTAAAAGTTATTGAGGATCTGAGGGGCTATGCCAAATCTCTTCAGCCTCCTGAGGGAGAAGAGACACTGTCATGCCTTCTTCATGACTGTGCTGGTGTTAGAGGACCATGTTAAGTCCTCAATGATATGGTCACCAAGGAACTTGATGCTCTTGACCCTCTCCACTTACGAGTGTTGACCAGTTTACTAACATAGGCCTCGGAGAGCAAGATCACCCAGTCCTCCGGAACAGCGGGGGCTCGGTGTTGTTTTTGTCAAAGCATGCATAAAAAGCATTGAGTCCCATATCTCAGTGTTAATCCAGGGCATCTTTAATGAATGACCATCAAAAGGCTGTGGCCCACAACTTCTGCTCCTCACCCAAAGGGAACACCCTTCTGTGGTTTCTGCTGGCCCTTTGATCCTCAGCTACTGAACTATTATCATCTGCAAGCCATTTCGGTGTCCCCCTTGTCATTAAGAGGGGGCGGCTCTATTTTTAAACAGTCCGCTTGACACACAGCTTTATGTCATCTTGACAACGATACATTTGGCCGTCTTAGTGTTTCTTTCCGCTTTCGGTAAGAGGAGTCTTTCTACTGTACATTCGTTGGGTGAGCCCACCCCCGCCATGACACCACATACGTGGGTAGTGGATAGGAAATACAAGACTGTCCTCATGGCTACGCCATTTCCTTCATAGCCAAACCACTGTCTCTCTTGTTTTGGCTCTTGTTTTACCTCATCAATGTAAACTGAGCTGGCCGAGGTCTACTCACGAAACATACCATATGCTGTGTGAGTAAGTAGTCATGCAAGCGTTTGCACGCAAAATATCCTCTCAATAACATCAGCCTGTCCTTGGTTTTCATGTTGCTCTCATTGGTGTTTTGTGTCATTGGGCTCACCAATGTCTCAATTAATCAACTCAACACCAAAAATATAAAAAAGACTTGAGTTAGTATCTGATAGACGGTTTCCATGATGATGGAATTCTTGGAGACTCATTTTGTTTGTGTGTGTGTGCCTGTGTGTGTACGTGCGCTCACGCATAAGGTCAAATATATTACAGATCTCTTTTATGGTTTATGCTTATGGATAACCCATCGTTTTGTGTTTTATGCATTGACCACACGCTACCACACTGGACAGAATATGCGTAGAACACCTTATCAGAGATTGCTCAAAACCAAAAACAATACATTTCTGTTTTAGTGTACATCCTTTTAACTTTAATGGTGAAGCAAAACAAAACAAAAATACTGTAAAATAAATTAGATAGAAAACTTAGCCACAAGCACATTTTTTATTTGTACAACAAAGCAATGCAACATATTGGTATCTGGATTTCCATATATACAGAATAAAACCTTTTTTTTTTATTCTTAGTCCACTTGTTTCAGTGTCAGTTATTTTGTACTGATAAAAGAAAATGAAAACAAATACAACAACAAAAAAATTCTTATTTTTTAAGCCTTTTTCTCTATCGATATTTTTGTATGCATCAATGCACAATGTAAGATACATTGTGTTTCTTTAATGTTTAATAAGTCTATACTTCAAGACACAACATTGTGAGGGAAAGTTTCGGTAACACTTTATTTTACAGCCCGTTTTAAATGTGTATACTTTACATGATATTAACCAAGAATCTATATGCAATGGATACTTTCTTGTACTTCAAAACTATCAACATTGAAATAGAATTCAATACAACTGGTGTATCTAGTACCAAATGGTACATTGTGAAGCTTGTGTCAATGAATCTCAAAGAAGCTGAAGTGTAATGACTATGTAATAATAAAGCAATTTCTAAATAACTACCTAGTAAACAGAGGGCAGTAAAATAAAGTGTTACCAAGTTTCGAATTGCTTCATTTCAGACATTCGAAAGAAACCAACTCTCCAAACAATTTGTTTTACTTGGTGTAAGATGGGACCTTCCAATATTTGGTGAGATATTTGGAAATATTTAACTGTTTTAACTAGATCTTCAGGAAACTTCCAAATTCAATGGACACATTCATTTTTCCCCAAAACACGACAACACTGGCCTACAGTAAGTGCTTTTTTTTTTCAGTTACAATAATAAGCCACTCTCCGACAACATAGTGTTGTGAAAAACAGGTTAGAGTGAAGCATTATGGGAAATTAAGTCTATGTGCAGGAGCCGAAGCAATGTTTGGCCACTGATGCTAGGCTATGCTAATGCTGACCTGGACGTCTTTGTGAAGTGATTGATAACAGCCTCACAATGATGGTTGGCAACATTCACACAAACTCTTTGGTGTGGTAAAAAAAAATCTGTAGTCATACATGTGTCTACGTGTTCTCGAAATGTTTTAAACGTGCTCTATTGATTTGTCCATTCATAAGTGCTTTTTAATCTCTCTTAGAATACCCTTTATCTTTGTGACTAGGCTGATCAGAATGTTGGTATAGTGCAAACTGAAAACGTCCGTAACGTTTTTAAAAACAACAAACAATAATATTATTATCAATAAAAAATTATAATAATTATACATAGAGAAATGTTTGGTTCCAGCATCTGGTCAAACTTCTTTCAAGTATCTCTCAACACAAACACCACACACACACAAACACACGCACACTCAAACAAACATAAACATATCTTTTTTTAAAGTTTTACAAAAGTGTTCCTTTTTTTGTTTTGAAAAAGTAAACAATTGAGAAAATGAAACAGGCAAAATAAAAATAAAATTTGTAATACTTGACAAGTTGCATAGTTTTTTGAGATTCTTTCAGGCACCTCATTTGCATGGTCTCTCGTCTTGCAGTGCATGAAAGGAGCAACTACGCCACATCTGGGTCACATAAATATCCTCTCACCTCACTCTATTTGTTTTGTAACAAAAATATATTAAATATTATTTTTCAATTTTTTTCTGAAAGTGCCGCAGAGACTTCTCTGAGTTATAGATACCCCTTGGACTTGCCAACGACGGAGAACAAGCCCGTCATTGAGTCCAAATAGAAGTCGGTCTTGACAAGTGTCATGCGCGCAAGAGAGAGAGAGAAAAAGGGAGAGGGGGAGAAGAACAGTGACGCAATGCATTTTCCTTCCTTCATCTACCTCCTCTTCTTTCATTTAGTTCTTTCTCTCTGGGCATGAGACCAACCTCTCAGCCCCACTAGTTCCGCCAGGCTTTTAGGAGCAGCCACACTCCTCTACGACCATGTTCTGGATGTCCTTTTTGACGATCTTCTGCTCCTCGTTGTAGTAGAGCATGGACATGGCTCGTAGCCGTGTCGGCACGCAGCACGACTTGATGTTCTGGAAGGGCGCGTAGCCCCGTATGCGGTAGTGGTTGATGACAGTGGAGTGAAAGGACAGCGAGGAGCCTGTGATGCTGGCCACGTGGCTGGGGCAGTCGCCTTCGCAGTAGTTGGCGTGGTATCCCCCTGGCGCTATGATCCAGTCACTCCAGCCAATGTCCTTGAAATTGACGTAGAACTGGCGCTTGCAGCAGGCACTCACCTTGCCGTCGCACTCCAGGCCCCGCTTGTGGCGCCGCCGTGGCTCACCGCCCTCACCCTGCTGCACCACCGCCATCAGGAAGGGCCGGTGAGACTGCTCACGCTCCTGCCCGCTGCTGGCCGACACCAGGATGGGCGTGGCACCAGCGTTGGCACACAGCGGGCAGGCGACCCTCAGACTGAGTGTACTGGCGCCGCGCTTCAGCAGGGCCTGGACGCTGGCCGACACAGGAAAAGTGTGCCAGCCGCTGCGTCGCGTGTCCACCGCCTTCTCTGCCAGCGGCACCGGCGCCGACTCCTCACGGCCGTCTCCACCACGGCGCTGCTGTAGCAGGCGGATAGTGACCTTGGCACGGCTGCGGTTGGTCTTGGCCAGCCGGAGGAAGATCCATACATTAGCCTCCTCCACCAGAGACAGCTTGCCGCCCTCCTTGGAGATGAGGAAGTTGACCGCGCCCTGGGAGTCGCCTACAGAGGAGGAGAAATAGAGAGAGGATCGGAGGATTAGATTAGTAAAACGCTGTAATAAAGTCTGAGCTCATATCAGTGTAAGTAAAGGCTTTGCTGCCTGGTCCTTGAACTGCAACGGCCACATCTGAGTCTGATGGGGTGTGATAGGGCCACATCAATGGGACAGAATAATTTTAGGCATGGCACACGTATCATTAGCATTGCCTTGCTTGACATGACAAGTTCTGGTCTGTTTTTTTTTTCAATTCGCTTTTTTCGGTTCAATAAAACAGCAAATGTGGGAACGTCATTTGGAAATGAATCTGTTATGTACAATGCTAACAACAAAGAGAATAATATTTACAGGAGAGAGTCAAATTGTACATTTTGGGTACAACACGCAAATATGTTTTGTGACATGTACACAGTCACTCACTGCACACACACACACACTCATTCACAAGCACAAGCAAGCACATGGCATGACGCAACACAACAGGACTGTCCATGACATACCTTTCAACTCTAACAAACCCAGCACATAACATAATTTTGGGGTTTAAAAACCACAACGTTGCATAACATATTTGCGTCACCTTTACTTGTGATCATTATGGCAGCCCGCATACTGTAAAGCACACAATAGCCAGAGGCAAGTCTTTCAGAGAGGTACAGTAAGAGGTTGAAGGATGTCAGTTATTAACCATAATAAGTACCCTTTTCACAGGCAGATGTGACTTCACTTGTGATGTGGCAATGTGTCTTCACTAGTGTCACTATGGGAGGCCTGCTGGTGTATCTGAGCTCAAATCTCTCAGCTCTGGGTCAAAACTGGCTCATGTCCAGCAGAAGCATGGAGAAATCCTCTGGAAAGCTTCTTCTAACAAGATCATTTTGAACGTCTAGGCTAATCCCTTCCATTTACAGTACATAGGCAAATCTTTACAAAGTGATGTCTCAACAGCACATACAGTAAAGCTCACTTTCTGGCTATTAGCTTTGGCTCTGTGTGTTCAGAGTAAGATATAATTTTTCTCTCTTTTTGTGGACAGACACTGCATGTTGTTGCTGAGCTAAATGTCCTCAGAGTGGCTGTGATGTCATTATGAAATGGGTCTGGTTTTTTAACTACACAAATGAGTTGGACAGCCAGCATTTGCCATTTTATACTCTCCCTCTAAGAAATCCCAATGAGCCCCAAAGTATTCCTAGTACTTCCATGGAGGTCATCATCAATGCTTTCTGTTTGTTTACCCCACATTTGGTTGCAACAACAATGGCGACAGTTCTCTCTGTGTGTGTGTTTTTGTGCGTGTGTCCACAGCCAATACCCATCTGTCCAAACACAGCCGCTGCATCACAAACACAGTCTAAAAATAATGGGCGTTTGCCAGCGGTGGCTCCGTCATTGTTCCTTCTTAATCCTGCACTGGGGCGAAAGAATAGGACTTGCGTTAGAGTTCCCTAAGCTGTACAAACCCAAGGGGGCTCTAACCCAAAGAAAACCCGCCCTTGGAAGTACGTTTGAGTGCACCGCTGCTCAACATGGTTCCTGAAAACATTTGTGAGAAAAGAAGGGGAAAATACTAAAGAGAGGTACAGTAATCCCTGAACAATAAACACCAATTCAGCTGACGAGAAGGACAGTTTGCGCAGCTGTCCCACACAAAAGATAGAAAATAACATTGACACATTCCTACCTCCCCCTTTGCTTGTCTTAAAAAAAAGGAGATGGAGTGAGGGATGGGCCCGAAATACCTGAAAGCTTAGAGGACCATAAGTGGGGGGTTTCTCTTCTATCCAAATACTGTCCTAATTCATGTGTTCAATAATCCCACTCTTTATCCAGTTTACCTTTGGAGGGATAATGGCCTTTGATCTTTCCCTTGAGGTTCCAGTTATATTGTATGGAGTCCTAATACTCCCACGGCCACTACTGAGGAACCACTTCCATAGAAAACATAACAACCAGAAAGATACCACTATAACATACTATTGAGGCATATCTTGTTTACCAATTTAAGAGAAATGGGAATTATTTTATACAGGTTTACTGCCTAATTTGATAGGAGTTCAACAAAAATGCCTAGAGATTCACATGAACTCAATCCGATACAATCTGTGTCACTTGATCAGATTTTTTTGCAGCCTGAGGTGACCTGCCAGTTGTAGTGGAGGTAGTTGTAGCAGCTTCAATACCTGCCAACTCAAAGTCCACTAGTAGACCTTCTTCAGAGCAGACTAAACAGAGTACTCATTCAAAAATGTGTCTTTTTCATTTTTGCCTCTTTGCCGACTGCAATTTTTTAGGAGTTCTGGTTTGATAAATCAAGCTCGAAAAGATTACGGCTTACTGTCTCCTGGACAGCATCATGTATAACCAAATTGTATTTGTAAATATCTGAATTATCATCTTGATAAGTAAAAGGCTGAATGCATTTCTTGAAAAATGTAATGTTGTTCACAGAATTGTAGCTGCATTTTTCTCTGAAAGTGCCAATCATCTCATTCTTCCCAAATGGATCGCTCTTCAATGGAGTGCTTGCCTGCTCTAACAACCATATGTGGCTCTCAAGATGTTCCAGGAATGTTCCCTGTATGTTCTAATGACAATGACAGCAATGTTCGGAGAGCTCTTGTACAAATAACCCAGTGTTCTATGAATGCCACTAGGATATACGTTAGATGCTATCACCCACCACCAAATTGAATCAGTTACATTTTAAGAATGTCTCTAAAACATGCATTGCAATTGTCTTATAATAAACTGATAAAAATGTTGGAGGCTAACTCATGTGTACCTGAAGTAATTCCAATAGCATTCCCTAAGCACTATTACAGGGAGTCTTGGCTCATTGAATAACACATTCATAAATGGCAAAACAGACAGTCAAAAAATGTATCATAAGGAATAAGGTTTTGAAGTGTCTGTCCTATATCCAGGAGATATAAGAAAGCTCTGGAAATATTTTTTGTTTTTTTGGACACATATTTCACCCCTTTTTTTGTTGGAACAAAACCTCCATACTTCCATTCATTTTGTTTTACCCGAACCGGGTTACCTTCAGACAAGTTCTGTTACACTTGTGTGGGTCGTAGAGCAAAACATATAGTGGTCATTTTAGATTTTAGACCAAACCGTTCCGACGCTACAGACGTTTTTGTGAGAAGACAGATTTTCGGGATGTCTCATGGTCTGACAAACATCGCTGTAGCATGGCCACCTTCCGCCGCAGATGCGGAAGGCCGACATAGGCGGATGTGGTGGATTGAGACGCAGCCCATGCAAAAAAACTGATTTTTTGAATTATGTTACTTAGATTGACGCACGGGTGCATCACATTCCTAAACATATTTTATTGCTCTGACTACTAGCCATAGCACAAGAATGAATGGTACTGTCAGCTTTGAGGAAAAAAACTGAGGATTTTTCTTTTTCCTTCAACATGTCAATGGGGCAATGCTTTTTTAGTGTTTTGCTTTTAGCAGCACTGATGGTTCATTCATTGCATATACAGATATAGGATCTTAATTTGATCACCATGTTGCAGGATAACTTTCTTGCAATGCAGGAAATGTTAAACTTGTAGTGTATTTGAGGTTTAAAAAGGCTTCTAAAGTTTGTAATTTATTTATACTTTGAAATTTCAGACTTGATTTTCCCTTACGAAAAATGTTTCAATCCCTACAAAAATATCCATTAATTATAATCCACATAATAATTCACATTTCCTTTTGCTGCAGGATTATTTTCCTGCTGTAGCAAACTGGCTCAAATCTGTACTCTGTACATCTGTACTCTCTCACTCAGGTTTTCCTAAATGGTTCAACTGTTCTTTCAAGTGTATGCTGTTGAGAACGTCAGGGAGGGAACCTGTCTTCAGTAATGAGCAGCATAGCATATTCTACTGCAAGGAAGGTAGAAAAACTGTTTTATTTTTTTACTCAACTTTGTTTCCTCAACCTCATGACTCACATAACCTCAATACATTATTCAATTAATGTAAAATTATTTTAAAACGTTTTTCTCCCAATTCTGACATGCAAAGTCTTGCTTTCACTACCATGTTATAGCAACTTGACAACTCTTTCTAAGTTTACTGTAAAGCACATTCTAGAATGAACATTTATAGAATTCCTAAATGACAGCTTGGAAAGTTAAGTCTATTTAACTACCTCTATACAGGAAGAGCCTACTTTGAAAATGTACATAGTTTTCCTAGAATTCTTTGCTTGTACCTCCTTGGGTTTTTTTTTTTTTTACCACATAGCAGGAACAACAACTTGACATCACACAAGGGAGGAAATTCTCATTAAAGTCTAAGTATTGGTTTTAAACATACATTTTTTGAGCGTAAGTACTGCAGTAGGATTCGCTAAATTTAATCTGTCAAGTCCTAGTGAAGAGGGGCTCTTAAACTCACTGCAAATGTCAGTCATGACTTGGAGTGCACATCCTTTACACTCTCATTCAAGCACTCCTCTCTCTCCCCCTGCTGCGACACAGACCCAAGACCACTCAAGATCACCTCGCCAATTATACAGTGCTGTATTTATGAATCCAATAGCCCTGTCTCTGACCCTTTCCAAAATACTGTACTGTAAAACATTCTGCACCTTCAATGACAGTCACAGTTTGCAATGTAAGGAAAAAGGAACATAGTTCTTTTGCTGACACAGTTCTGCTTTTTCTATATCCCATTTCCCCTCCTGGACTATCTGAGGCAGAGCAGACCCAGATCGCTCTACACATCACACGCTTGACAGCACCTTTGAACACATCACTCCACAGTCGACAGCCAACGGAGTAGAGGCAGTAACTGGATAATAGTTATTTTTCTTTAACCTGAGGAGCCTTTCTTTCCATAACTCTCTCTCGCTCTCGCTCTCTCTCTCTCTCTGCCGTTTCTGAGCAAAGCGCTCGCTTGGTCTCCCGGTGACTGCCACCGCACTACTCTGAATAACTTCACAGCTTTGGTACTTAAGCCTGGGGGATTTCTAAGCAGATAATTGGTATTCTTTAAATCAGCAGGAGGTCATTAGGGACCTTAAGGGAGGGGTGGCAGGGGAAGGGGAGGATGCGAGCACCTCTCTGGGTAGAGTCAACAGGTTGAACTGTTCTATCGCACAGGTGGACACTACCCCCCTCCTCTCAAGAGAGTGTTTCAAAGAATTAGGTCTGCAAACCTGCCAAACTGGGTTGCAGTCCTATAGCCTTTGTAGCATTTAGCAAGGCTGCCTGTTAGTTTTTTGCCTCCTTAGACAAGGACCTTTCTGTTGCTCTTTCTATCACTCTATCTATCTTTCTCTCTCTCACACACGCACAATCACCCCACCACACACACCTGTGGCACTCACCGGCCTCTGCGAAAGTAATGATCTCAGTCGTCTCGGGCATGTCGGCGGGGTCGGGACGCCCGTGGCCCTCATCCTCAATCTGGACGCTGCCGTCCTCGGCCACGCGTCCCACATGCAGCTTGCGGATGGCATTGAGCAGAGCAGCGCGGGGCACCGGATGCGTGACGTTGGGCCGTGCCTGCAGGTGCAGCATGTTGAGGATGTGCCTCTTCACCGCCTCCACCACGTCGGTTTTGCCGCCGTCCTCCTCCTCGTTTAGCTGTGCCAGGGCGCATGACGGGCAGTTGGTGACCTCCGGTGCCAGCTGAAATTGGGACTGGGTCTGTGGTTGCGTCTGGCCACCACCCATCGCCAAGGAGTCTGCCATGGGCAAAGAGCCGCCGCTGGCGCAGCTATGGGTAAAGAGCAGAAAAATCCCACTCAGCAGGGGCAGAGGAGACATCCTAGATGAGGTCTGCTGTCCGGACAACTAAGAGCAGAGCAGCACGCACCAACTGGCAGGCGAAATGATGATTGGTGGAAAAAGTTTAGGTCCTCCTGCCAAAGAGGGGGAAAAAAACTCCTCCAGACAAGGTTTACTTAAAAGCTCTGGACAAATAGATACTGTAAGACTTGGACTAAAAGTAAGAAAAAGTTACACCTAAACTGAAGGAAAAGTGAGAACAAAAAATTATAATCCTTGCATTGAAAAATGAGAGATGGATGGAGAAGGAGAGGTGTGGACAGAAGATGGTCTTGCCAGTGCTGGAGCGGAGAGGATGTCTGGTCCTTTGGGAAGTTTTGTGTGGGAAGGGCAGTCGTCTTCAGAAGGTTACCCCAGGGAAGTGGAGTTCTCTGTAGAGGTCTGGGAGTGCTCACTGTGCACAAGTTGAATGGTTTTGTGAGAGTGGGCAGGGCTCTGTCTTTGCTGTCTCTCTCTCTCTTTCTCTCTTTCCCTCTGTACTTCTCCCTGTGTCTTACCGTAATTATACCTTCCTCCTCCCTCCCCTTCCTCCTGATCCCACCCTTTACTATCTCACTACTGACTCATGTGTTTCACTAACTTTGCCTTTATTTCTTTATTTAGGCTTGTGCTGTGTCTCACAGTTTTCTCAATTTTGATTAACCACATTTGAAAATGCTTTTGAAAATGCTTTAAATGTTTTTTTTATCTTGTTGCTTTATCTCTGGTTGCTGCCAACCTCAACTTGCTCATTCCCCCCTAATTTCTGTTAAATTCGAACAAATGGTTGTTGAATTATTTCTTATATAATTGTACACATTCGTTTGCAGTGATATACAGTAAGAAGTTCTGATTATGGCTTGTAGACATGCATTTAGACTGTGTCAATAGTTGAAACTCTTGAAGTTGAAACATTCAACTCATTTTGAAGATGAGCATGATTACCTTGTCTGGTTACAATGGTTAGATAGTATACAATATTAGGATTTTGTTTAAAGGACTTGTGGTCACTTTAAACGCAGCATTTGTGGTCACTGGTAAGCACTAATCAAAACACTAAAATGCCACAATGCGTCAAACCCACTATTTCTCATGTTGTGTCATTGTTTTCCATGTATTTCTCATCAGTTTGACGTGGATGGGATGATTTGGTTCGGGTTTTCCTAACATCAGTATGACATTCGCCCAGTCTGCCGATTCACCAGGAAGTGACTACAGGGTTAACTTCCTGTTTTAATGAGTTGAGGTCAGACGGCTGGGATTCTCCGTGACTCTTCAACATTACATCATCAAAGGCAAAGCAGAAGGCTAGTGTGAGTCGTCAGTGTATCCAAAAATGAACTCCAAGTCATGCAAAGTCATCCCGACTGCATTACGAAATAAGACATTGAACTTGATCAATATAAATTAATTTGCTATTATAACAGCTCTGGATAGTGACTGGCTACGATGACTCACCATCTTGTGTTATAATCAAATTAGCGTCTGAATTGTTCATGTTTACTGATGTTATGTGCAAACTCTGAATAAACTATTTTTGGAGCACTTCAGGAGCTTAAAGTACGCACCATAACGTTAGTTTTGTTTTTAATGGTCAAAGACTGATTACATATACTGCATTGAATTTAATTGTAGTTCTAGACCTCTAAGCAGCTCTAGACTATGTGGAACATTGTGTGCAGGTGAACATTTTTATGCTTTTAGTGCTACATTACAGTTGATATATCATACTATACAGTGTGTATTGCTATATCTATCTTGTAAACTAAATGAAGGATCCACTGTAGATGTCCTAGAGAAGACTCACTCCATTACTCCCTCTTGTGGACAAATGATGTGCATTCACCCACATAGTCTGATGTTTTTCCATTTATCTTTGTAATTATTTTCTCCTTTATGTTTCCTCTCCCCCTCTCTTGACCTCCTTCACTTCCACCGACTCTCTCTCTCTCTTGTAGTTTGGCTGCTGTCCGCCACTCTCTCTCGTTAAGGTCAGGGGTCACTTCCTTCCACTCTGAGCTGTCGCTGCAGGACCTCAGTAACTTTATGAAACACGTAATAGGTGAAGCTAGCACGTCATTCCACTCCTGACAAATGTACTGCCTTAGAGTATCTGGAAAAGACTTCCCCCAACTAAGTCTCTGCGGGACAGTGATGGACCAGCAGAGCAGCGCTGGCCGTATCATGTCACACAGCAAAAGACAGGAGGTCCTCAAGCCAGCCAGCGGCTGCAGCTGCCTGTGTGTGACACCCTGCTGCTGAGAGGAGGACGGGGGTGAGACGGATTGTGGCCTCCAGGGTTGGATGTATGTGTGTGTGTATGTGTGTATGTGTGAGAGTAGGGGAAGACAGCAGGTTATGTGGAGGTAAGATATCATTTATAGTTCTTTCCTATAACACATTTTAGTGTACAAGATAGAGTAGATATAGTACAGAGTTTGATGATGATGATGATTATCATTATTATTATGCTCATTATGTGTGTGATGGCACGGAGGGGCCATGGCCATGTGTGATGGATGGGTTCGCTCCGTCTCCACGCCGGGGGAGAAATAACCGGGAAAAGGATGCCGGGAGTGCAATGACATTCAAGTTACGCCATCCCTCACCTTCACGGCGAGGGAGCAGAGCAGACCCCATTAAAATAAAATCCCCAACGAATGCAGAGAGTGGGGGCGGAGGGTCAGAGGGGTGTTATTCACCCTGAGAAAGCGATGAGCAAGTCTTTCACCAGATGTGTGCTCCTCCAGTGAGGTGTAACTCCTTAAAGTATTTTTACTTAAGTATTTTACACCATTGATGAATATACATACTATTTAGCAAGGGCGCAACTTTGGTTTTAGAAATGGGGGGACATAACTTTTATTACCATTTTTTCCCAAAATAAAATCGGAGAAACAATCCAAACAGCCTACCCGACCGCTCGGAGGCATCCGCGTGGTCCGAAAGCACACCCGTTGACTCGTTCTGTATCACATTCCAATTTATTTTTATTTATTTTTATTTCACCTTTATTTAACCAGGTAAGCCAGTTGAGAACAGGTTCTCATTTACAACTGCGACCTGGCCAAGATAAAGCAAAGTAGTGCAATAAAAACAACACAGAGTTACATATGGGGTAAAAAACATAAAGTCAGAAATACAACAGAAAATATATATACAGTGTGTGCAAATGTAGCAAGTTATGGAGGTAAGGCAATAAATAGGCTATAGTGCAGAATAATTACAATAGTATTAACACTGGAATGATAGATGTGCAAGAGATTATGTGCAAATAGAGATACTGGGGTGCAAAAGAGCAAAATAAATAACAATATAGGGATGAGGTAGTTGGGTGGGCTAATTTCAGATGGGCTGTGTACAGGTGCAGTGATCGGTAAGGTGCTCTGACAACTGATGCTTAAAGTTATTGAGGGAGATAAGAGTCTCCAGCTTCAGAGATTTTTGCGATTCGTTCCAGTCATTGGCAGCAGAGAACTGGAAGGAATGGCGGCCAAAGGAGGTGTTGGCTTTGGGAATGACCAGTGAGATATACCTGCTGGAGCGCAGACTACGGGTGGGTGCTGCTATGGTGACCAATGAGCTAAGATAAGGCGGGGATTTGCCTAGCAGTGATTTATAGATGGCCTGGAGCCAGTGGGTTTGACGACGAACATGTAGTGAGGACCAGCCAACAAGAGCGTACAGGTCACAGTGGTGGGTAGTGTATGGGGCTTTGGAGACAAAACGGATGGCACTGTGATAGACTACATCCAATTTGCTGAGTAGAGTGTTGGAGGCTATTTTGTAAATTACATCGCCGAAGTCAAGGATCGGTAGGATAGTCAGTTTTACGAGGGCATGTTTGGCAGCATGAGTGAAGGAGGCTTTATTGCGAAATAGGAAGCCGATTCTAGATTTAACTTTGGATTGGAGATTCTTTATGTGAGTCTGGAAGTTGAGTTTACAGTCTAACCAGACACCTAGGTATTTGTAGTTGTCCACATACTCTAGGTCAGACCCGTCGAGAGTGGTGATTCTAGTCGGGTGGACGGGTGCCAGCAGCGTTCGATTGAAAAGCATGCATTTAGTTTTACTAGTGTTTAAGAGCAGTTGGAGGCTACTGAAGGATTGTTGTATGGCATTGAAGCTCGTTTGGAGGTTTGTTAACACAGTGTCCAATGAAGGGCCAGATGTATACAAAATGGTGTCGTCTGCGTAGAGGTGGATCTGAGAGTCACCAGCAGCAAGAGCGACATCATTGATATACACGGAGAAAAGTGTCGGCCCAAGAATTGAACCCTGTGGCACCCCCATAGAGACTGCCATAGGTCCAGACAACAGGCCCTCCGATTTGACACACTGAACTCTATCTGAGAAGTAGTTGGTGAACCAGGCGAGGCAGTCATTTGAGAAACCAAGGCTATTTAGTCTGCCAATAAGAATGCGGTGGTTGACAGAGTCGAAAGCCTTGGCCAGGTCGATGAAGACGGCTGCACAGTACTGTCTATTATCAATCGCGGTTATAATATCGTTTAGGACCTTGAGCGTGGCTGAAGTGCACCCGTGACCAGCTCGGAAACCGGATTGCATAGCGGAGAAGGTACGGTGGTATTCGAAATGGTCGATGATCTGTTTGTTAACTTGGCTTTCGAATACTATCGAAAGGCAGGGCAGGATGGATATAGGTCTGTAGCAGTTTGGATCTAGAGTGTCACCCCCTTTGAAGAGGGGGATGACCGCGGCAGCTTTCCAATCTCTGGGGATCTCAGACGTTATGAAAGAGAGGTTGAACAGACTAGTAATAGGGGTAGCGACAATTTCGGCGGCTAGTTTTAGAAAGAAAGGGTCCAGATTGTCTAGCCCAGCTGATTTGTAGGGGTCCAGATTTTGCAGCGCTTTCAAAACATCAGCTGTCTGAATTTGTGTGAAGGAGAAGCGGGGGGGGCATGGGCAAGTTGCAGCAGAGGGTGCAGAGTTGGTGGCCGGGTTAGTGGTAGCCAGATGGAAAGCATGGCCAGCTGTAGCAAAATGCTTGTTGAAATTCTCGATTATTGTAGATTTATCGGTGGTGATAGTGTTTCCTAGCCTCAGTGCATTGGGCAGCTGGGAGGAAGTGCTCTTATTCTTCATGGACTTTACAGTGTCCCAAAACTTTTTGGAGTTAGTGCTACAGGATGCAAATTTCTGTTTGAAAAAGTTAGCCTTTGCTTTCCTGACTGCTTGTGTATATTGGTTCCTAACTTCCCTGAAAAGTTGCATATCGCGGGGGCTATTTGATGCTAATGCTGTACGCCACAGGATGTTTTTGTGCTGGTCAAGGGCAGTCAAGTCTGAGGAGAACCAGGGGCTATATCGGTTCTTAGTTCTGTATTTTTTGAATGGGGCATGTTTATTTAAGATAGAGAGGAAATTACTTTTAAGGAACAACCAGGCATCCTCTACTGACGGAATGAGATCTATATCCATCCAGGATACCTGGGCCAGGTCAATTAGGAAGGCC